TACTGGTTTATTATAATATTATAAGGAAGCCATTCTGCACCGCAAGCGACAGGGGGTTCCCCGCTGTGAGGCTGGCGTGAACTTCAACACGAGGGACGGTGAAGAAACAACTCCGGCCCAGATGGCGGCAAGGACGGGTGACGTGGAGATCCTGCAGCTGCTGAAGGAGGCCTTTCGTCGCAGCCAGGGCTGGCCGTCGTGCTTCCGTATCGTCGTTTTCAGCTGAGGCTGAACGCGGAAATCGCTGAAAGCTGCATGTCGGTTGATGGTCGGGGTCTTGCTCCGAGTTTAGTAGCGTGTGAGGCCGGAGCGGATCTGGAGAATGCCAGTGGCTCGTACACCCCGGCGATGTTTGCTGCAGAAGAGGGCCACGTGGCAGTGCTCCGGTTCCTTCGCGAGGCTCGCGAGCGTCTGAGCTTGTGCCTCCCCTGCCGAGGTCTTATATAATTGGAACAAAGGAACCGTATAGGTAACCCTATGCCCTAAACTTATCTGATCCATTCCGTGAGGCTGGCGTCAACATCCTGAAGAAGGGCAAGGAGGACGTGTCTCCGGCCCATGTAGTGGCCCAACGCGGGCACGAGAATGTGCTGAAGGTGCTGGAGGTGCTGGAGGAGGCCTCGCGTCACAGCAGCAAGGGCTCCTTTCTTTGACATCTCTTCCCGTTTTTTTGAAAAATCACCAAAAAGCCCTGGGCCCTGCTATGAAGGCCGGCATGAATTTCAGTGCGACGGACAAGGAGGGAAGAACTCCGGCCGGTTATGCAGCCGCAGTGAGCAATCTGGAGGTGCTGAGGTTCCTCAAGGAGGCGCAGCTGGGCCTAGGGCCTAGGTTCCTCTTCTTAGGGTCAAGGTTTAGGGTTTAGGGTTCAGGGTTTATGGTTCAGGGTACCTCTTAGAGCTACGGGAGAATATTGGAAATCTAGCCGGGCCTAGAAGATCTTTGCAGGAACTTGGCAAGGGTTCGCCAGCAGTGCTTGTCAGGTCATGTCAGGTCCGAGCACGCCGTGGCTTGAACCGAGACTTTTGCACCGACAGTGCTGAGGTCCATGCCGACCTGACGTCGGCCGACAGATTCGGATGGACATTACTGCACGTAGCCGCGCGGGAATGCAGCGCGCCTGTCGCCCGGTTCCTGATAGAGGCCCGCCATGGCAGTTCGACCTCATCCTGACTTGAGCTCCCTTTCGAAGCCTCCTTTGTTCCCGCTCTTTCCCAAGCTGTTTTGGAAGGGGGTCTCTGGACCCCTGCCAGGAGGCACACGCGAGCATCTATGCCAAGAATTGGCGGGGAGAGACTCCGGCCCAGTCAATTGGGAACTGCGTTGGATGGGATCGTGACGGACAAGAGCGCACGCGCATGCGCATGCTGAAGCTGTTTCGGGAGAAGGCCTGGGCCAGGGGGGGGGGGCTTTGCAACCGAACACAGATTTGTCACATTTTGTCACGGTGGCTGCCTATTCCTTGTCGGACCAGACGACTACAACGACCACCGCGGCGCTCAACGGCTGAGGACCTGGCCCTGGGGCGTTGAGCTTTCGCGGGTTCTTTAAAGGTGAACATTTTTTCCAGGCCTTTCGGTGTCCAATCAAGTGTGAATCGCAGAGTCTGGGTGCTGCTCTGATGGCCTTTTCGCATTTAGCACGTGCATCACTTCCGTTCTACCCCAAACCAAAGCTCAGGTTTTGAGGATTCTTCAACAACCAGTCCTTTCGGGATGCAAGTCCGCCAAAACCTAAGGATCTAATGCTTGCCACGCTGTTCTCCTTCTGGGAGTTGAGTGGCATACTCTCTTGGCCTGAGTTGTCTTTGCTTGGAGGATCATAGAACTTAGTAAGTAAGGTTATAAGTTATAAGTACCTTAATTGGGGTTATAAGTAGCTATAAGTGTAGTTACCTTACTCATAACCCTAGTTACTAAGTCCCATGATCCTCTAAGAACTCTCTAAGGCCTGCCAAAGCTCCTACCAGTCCCGGCCAAAGCTCCCAGGACACGCCACCGCTTTTGCAAAGTCCGAGGCATCGCTGGGAAGCGGGAAGGGGCGTTGATTTGACCTTCCTGTCCAGGACCCAAACCACCCAAAGCCTACTTGGAGGAGCATGGGATTTAGTAAGTAAGGTTATAAGTACCTTGATTGGGGTCATAAGTAGTTATCAGTATAGTTACCTTTCTTATAACCGTAGTTACTAAGTCCCATGATCCTTTCAGTAGGCCCTAAACCTTGCACCGCACCCAAAAAACCAAAGGCGCCTCAAGCAAGAGCCTCGGGACTTGACTTGAGCCCCAAACCCGAAACCCCAAACACCAAACCCTAAACTGGGAATCGGAATATGAACAACAAGTACAATAACGATAGTCATAGCTATCCTTATAGCAATACTGATGCAAATCGTAATCAAGCCTTCATCTATGCTGAATGCCCTAAGCTTCGGCCAATTTCTGAGGCAATCCGTGGCTCCCAGGAAGATGTCAACACCTCAAACTACATGCAAAACCATATGAACACACACACACACAATACATGTGGAATGTGGAGATTGGCACCCGTGTACATGAAAGGTATTGCATATTCGGCATATAGTCTTGAAGTTGGAGTATGTAGATGTGGATCCTTACCGCAGGGCACTTCAAAGCCTCGCCACTCGACATTCTTTTTCTTTACCCCCTTTCAAGCTTACGTTACGAAAAACGTTGCAACTCCTGGCCAGGGTGGCTTTCCGCGCTCGGAGCTCCGCCCATGCAGGCCGCGGTTTTGGGAGAACATGGCAGGGCGTTCAGGGTTGTTTCTTGCTGGAGTGTTTAGTCCTACATCCCGAAATCCTCAAGCCGCAAAAACTCCCTCAATCCCAAACCACGGTTCCACAGCACAGCACCCTACAACACCGCTTTGCCACAAGGACTCCCGATGTGGCGGACTGACAGCAGCTTGCTGAACTTGGGAGCGTTGGAATGGATCTGAGCGATGCTGCAATGCTATGGACACAGTGCACGTGCCCATGTCGCATGGTCATATCAAGCTCTCAGCCGACAGCACAGGGTTGGTCTCTAAAGGTCCTTGCTTCGAGATTGCAAGACTTTCGCCAGTTCATATTTGACGTTGTGGTCTCTTAGATTCTGGCTCAAAGCAGCATGAAGGGCAATGACCTCTTTAGCTGCTTCATTTCTGTTGTGATACAGTGACTGTCTGTGCCAACACTTTGGAGTCACTGGACATTGCCACATGGCCCATGTCAAGAAAGAGGCCTAGATCATCTAGGACATCCCAGTGCCCCGTGCACAAGGCTTCAGCACTCATCTCAACGCTGAAGACGGAGACAGGTCCAAAACTCGGCTATAATCCTCTCGACGCCTCTTTCCGTACTTTGTTGCCGCTGTCGGCTACTTTCTGGTCGTCCCTTGGCTGCATGCGCGCTAAACCCTACGCCCCCAACCCCAAGTGGCCCTGCATCGGGCTGAGGTGACTCTGTGATTGGGAGGTGTTCAAGAGACACTACAAAACCGGGAGATAACCTGAAGGTTACACATGGTCTTGAATCAAGTGGTCTACTAGCAGACCAGCAGTGCTAGAACACTGGAACCTCATTTGAGCCCCCGAGAATGCGTCAATGTTTAGGGTGCAGGAGTTTAGGGTGTGCATGAGTGGACGTGCGCGGGAGCGTGCGGTTTCTTAGATTTGACGGCACACTCCCTCTCGCGCGTTGGCGTAGCTCAGTAGCCTCACCCCACCCCGAACCATTCTCATCTCAGGTTTAGGGTAGACCTTACACGGCTTCTTCTCGTTCGCTCGCCGATAAAAACAAGCCCCCTTGTTACAGGGGGTTTGGGGGTAGAAGAATCCCAGTTCTAAAGGAGAACAGTTCGGGGTGGGTCGGCGCTCTCCTGCGCGCATCTGCTCATGCCCGCCCTAAATCCTCAACCCTCCGCATCGTTCATCGGAGCTGTCAGGGGATTGTTGGATTTTTTTGGAGCGCTGGACCATCCCCGAGTTTTTTTTGGTGGTCTTGGGTACCCCAAACCCTGAACCCTGAAACCCGAAGCTTCCGAACCCTAAACCTTCAACCCCTAGGGAGCCCTCTTTCGTTTCCGTGTCTTTGTTTTGGGGAGGCCCTAAACTCTACGCTGAATGCTCTCAAACCCCTGACAGCCCAAGAACGGCCACTTCCTCAACGGGTCGGGGGTGGTACCACTGGCAAGCCAATATGTAGGATTTCCGCTCTCCCCCAGGCTTCAACACAAAAATTCCTAAGTTGACCTGGTTCAAGTTTCTGAACAATCCGACACTCGCAGCGGCAGTGCACGATACGACAGGCTTCTCAGCCGCTCCAAACACCGAGGGGCCCCGAAGTTCATGCATAAGTATATCAAATCCTTATCATAGCCCTTATGTATAGGCCTCTTTAAAGGAACCCTAAAATTATGTGAAATCCTTATAACAGCCCATACAGTAGCCCTTATATATAGACCCCTTAAAGGAACCCTAGATTTCATTCCGGCGGCGCGAGCAACCGAATACAAGAAGTGAAACGCGCTGTGAGTGCGACCTGCCGCGGCGTCAAGAGAAAGGAATCCTTTAGAAGCTGCCCCCACCCTGTAATAGTGATGGGGCCCTAATATAATCCTTATAGTCACTATTACAGGGTGGGGGCAGCTTCGAAGGAATCCTACAGGTAGTTATGAGCAACAAAGAGAGGCCGAGGCGCTAGGCTGCGGCCAGGTTATGGTAAAGCTTCAATGATCGTTGGAATGGCTGTCGATGAAATATATGCGTTCTAAGCTGCCTAGCTCTATCCCCTAATGCAAGGACCACTTACAGGCTCATGGGACTTAGTAAGTAAGGTTATAAGTATCTTAATTGGGGTTATAAACAGTTTTAAGTAAAGTTATTGATAACCCTAGTTACTAAGTCCCATGATCCTTTAAGCAGAGATTCCTACGAAGACCCTGAAGCAACCCACGCCGACCCGTGGCTTGGGGAAAGCTTCCTCTCGGCCTTTTCAGGGAATGCGCGCCGTGGTCATCCTCTGGTGCCTGTGTCCCCTGGACTCCGTGGTCTCTGAGACGATAGAGACCGCGTTTGAGGCACCATTGGGAAAGGTTGACGGACGCTGAGAGTGTTAAGAGAGGAAGATCCGGAGGACAAGTTCAACACAGTTTCAAAGAGAGGTAGTCAACGGCACTACACCCTAAACCCTAAGTCGGATTCATGTCAGTCTGCGACTCTTTGAAGGCCCATCCGGTACCGAAGATGTAGTAGGTATAGTTGAACAGCAGGGAAAAAGGGGACCAGCAAAACACGCTCCTGGGCCTTGGAAGCTGCAACGCTCCTTTGGGGGAGGATGTCGCCATGCTGCAACATGGGAAACATCGTTTCCCGACGGCTGTGGTGATCGTCGACGAGGCAGGCAAAATATGCTGGGACGGCGAAATCAATGCCAGTGGTCTTGAAATGCAAGTGGCTTAGAGAGCGGTTGATGCTATAAATCCTGCATTACCTTAATGACCCTAAACCATGGGAATTATGGCATATTCCTTGTTATGGGTCATGCAGGATTTATATCATCAGCCGGAGGCACTCTGAATTATCGCGGCGTTTAGTTTCATGTTGAGAGCAGCCTGCGAGTTGGCAGGTCAAGAAGAACACCAATGCACGCGCTGACCAGCTTGACGAGAAGATTGAGCGTGCCGAAGAGACGCAGCAGGTGCTGCTGCAAAGCTTTTGGCCTGAATCATGGATCCATGAGAGTGCTGGTGCTGAACTGAATTTTTGCCCGCTTTGCCTTCACTTGCCGTGAAGACTCCGGATGGCGTGCGTTCTTGTTAAGAGCATGCAGCACGAAGCCTGCAATTGATTTCCGTGGCGAGGCGTCCTGTCTTGTCGCGTTCTGTTGTCGCCGCGGGTCGCAATTGTTTCGGCATGTGGCCAACCAATAGTGCACAACAGTAACTCGCGACTGCCACGGTGTGAAACAACGTCGTGTCTGCACGCAAATCCAGGCTCTTACGCTCAAGATCGCACACCAAGCTCCGTAGCAATCGAGAAACATGCAACCACAGACTGTTTCTACAAAGATGAGCGTCACCTTGCTAGGCAAGGGTCACCGTAGTAAGGGTCTTACATGATTAGCTACATTTGTTCGAGACGCGCGTTTTTGAAGAGCATCAGAACAACCAATCACAGCAGGATAGGACCGGGTACTGCACGGAACCCCTAAACCCTAAACCCTAAACCCTAAACCCTAAACCCTAAACCCTAAACCCTAAACCCTAAACCCTAAACCCTAAACCCCAAACCCTAAACCCTAAAAAATAGGAAGAAAGGCCCCTTGAGTCCCTTGAAAGTAAACAAAGTCATCAATGTTTAACATCGAGCTACGGCCGTCGGCCGTAGCTCTGTTAAGAGAAACTCGTCATCCGGTGTGCTGAAGAGTCACAACACTACTTAAAGCATCATGGGACTTAGTAAGCAAGGCTATAAGTACCCGACTTGGGGTTATAAGTACAGGTATCTTGCTTATAAGCTTAGTCCCATGATCCTTTAAGTAGGACTCTAGAACAGCTTGGTTGGGACTCTTAATGGGGCCCTCCAAGGATGTAGTTCCCAGTGTAGGTGTCTTTTGAGGTTCTAGCCTTGCAGTAAGTCTTGCGGATCTCCGTAAGTCTCCATTGTCGAAGAAACTCAGTCAGTCTTAGTCTAGAGACTCGTGATTCTCGGTGGTGGGGGATACGACAAGTGTAAGTAGAGACATGCCGCTGCTCAAGCTTCAGGCTGGCCTTAACGCAGCAGGCGCCTTGAGACTCCTAGACGTTGGGCGACTGCAGCCCTCTAAGTGCTCATGGGAAAATCTCAAAAACCTTTCACATTGTGGGAGCTCAGAGAAGCCGGAGGCCTCTTACAAGCATCATCTGCCTTAGTCTTGCCAGGCCTCTCATGAGAATCTGACCGCCCAGCTGCAGAACCTCCATGAGAAAACGGAGGTGCAGCATCCCGTTTGGAGAGGTTTCTGAGCGCCTGATGAAGCCCTGAGGCTGTGGAGACCAATCTTGCAAACAAGCTCGACAGCATTCACCAGAAGCAGGAGGTGCGCAAGCTCCAGCTGGCTTCAGGGCTTAGGGTTTAGTTTAGGGTTGAGGGTTTATGTTGAAGGTTAAGGGTTTAATATAGGGGCCGTAATAACTACCTATACTATGTTGGGGGGTTCCTTAGTATAATTACAGTAGAATGGGCCCCAAAACCCTATTCTAATCATCAAGGCCCCTACATTAAACAGTACCCTTATAGATCCCTTACAGTGGCCCATATATAGACCCCTTTAAAGGAACCCTATTCTAATTATTAAGGCCCCTATAGTAGCTGCTTGGGAGCCCGTTCCTCGCCTGGCCTCTAAATTATGGTACCCTTATGCTAACCCCTATAATAGCCCTTTAAGGACCCCTTTAAAGGAACCCTACTCTAATTATTAAGGTCCCTATATCATAGTACCCTTTTTCGAAGCCTTATAGTAGCCCGTTAAGGACCCCTTTTAAGGAACCCTATTCTTTATCAAGGCCTCCACAAGGATGCCCAGTAGTACCCTTATATTCCCTTTTTGTAGTCCTAGGTTCCTTATAAAGTTACCCAATACAAAAAAGAGAGGCCTTTTTATTCTTAGGTTACTGGGTATCCTAGTCTATATTACAGGGCCTCTGGTTTCCAGCTTTTTCCCAGAGCTCCGAGGACTCCGAGGAGCTCCTCTCAGGCAAGCTCGCGAAGATCCAGGAGAAGCAGGGGGTGCGGCCCCTGGCGGCTTTTTTTTCGGGGGGGGGGGGAGCATGGCTGTGATTTTTTCATTTTTTTTTGGTGAAGTTTTGGGTTTTTTGTGGTCTTAGGGTTTAGGAACGAGAAGGCCATGCGGTCATTGCTGTTGTTCTGCGGTGCAGATCGTCGAAGCTGGCATGGGGCGCAAAAAGGATGAGGGCCAGGTGTCTCAGGGCCGTTTCCTAAGCCCTAAACTGTGAGGTGGATACGGCGAACATATCGGAGAAGCTTGATGACATACACCAGAAGCAGGAGGCGGTGCTCTTAGAATCAAGCCTTTGCGGCAAAAATACTTACCAATACTATTTCGGGGGTTCCTTAATAACACTATAGTCATTAGAGTATACTATACACCCAAAACCTTTTTTTAATCATGAAGTCCCCCATATTATATTGGCTTCCGGAGCCATGACTAGCCCTTGAAACTTGGCAGCTTGCGGAGGATGTCGAGGCCACCCTCACCAACACTCTCAGCGACATCTACCAGAGACAGGAGGAGTTCGATTCACGGCGTTGGAGTCGGCTCGGAGTGGCAAATGCTTCTTGCAAGGACGTGAAAGGCGAGCTGACGCAGAAGCTCAACAACATCCACCAGACACAGCGGGACACCTGAAACCGGTTGGAGTGCAGCGCTTTGGAGACGATTGAAATCCACGTGTCCTTGCTCGGGTCGAGCGAAGAGCAAGCGAGCATCTCGTGCAACCGCACACGTCGAGTCGACACCACATGCGCCGCACAACAGGGAATCCATGGCGAGCACAAGTGGGGACATCGGCCGCAGACGCTGCTGTCTGCTTGGAAGAGTGTTGAAGCGTGAGAAGGCCATGAAGTGCCCATGAAACGCCATAGGTGTCATCGTCCGATAAGATGCAACAAAGTGGGCTCCAAAAGGTGCTGCAAGACTACTACAACATCATGTCGTCAGATATCGTGCAATATCGAAGCTAAACTTCAGCCGTCCACACCCAGCTTGGAACGACAGAATCCTGGATAGTTGGGTATGTTGGGGCGGCATGGAGGGACATGCAACAGGCAGCCGAAGCTTCGCGCGGATGTGAACCAAACTGCCGTCGGTTGAAAGCTCTAGCTTGGCGGATGTCTGAGAGCCGTGAGGACGTCAAGGCGAATCTCAGCGACCAGCTTGGGGACATGGACCAAAAGCAGCAGGTTCGGTCTGGTGTGTTGCTCGTGCTGATGGGCTGCGTGAGATGTTTTTTCGTAAGATGTTGGGGGCTGGGTTGTCTGACGCAGAGGAAGCAGAAGCCAAGCTGACACAGAAGCTCAATACCATCCACCGGACGCAGGGAGCGCGGTGCCCAGGGTGTGGTATGAACGACGCAGCAGCTAGTTGCGGTTGTACCGACAGGTTTGCATCCTGCCGTGGTGCATGCTTTTGAGGATGCGGAGGCGAATCTGACGGAAAAGCTTTTGGACATCTCAGACAAACAAGAGGTTCGGCACCTGCAGATGAGCCGGCAAGCCTCTGTGAAAGGAATTTGCGGCTTGAAATCTTTGTTGCAAGGATGTGGAAGCAGCGCTGACACAGAAGCTCGACAACATCCACCAGATGCAGAAGGAGCAGTGCATGTGTACTGTCTTGTCTCAGGACGTTATATGGTTGTGCGCTGTGCGTTCTGCGGTCCTCCCCCCGCTCCCCTCAATGGTATCCCCCCAAATACAAGATGGGGAAGTGGACACATACCACTTCTTGAGCAATGTAGCACACATGGAGCGAGGGAGAACCAGTCCTGTTTTCTCAGGGTGGCAACACATATCACGGGGAGGGGTTCCCGCTCCTCGGAGAATCACAGAACTATAGGGCCCGGAGGGGAAGGGAAGGGAAGGGAAGGGGAGATTCCGTTCCAAAGACCCGGGTGGGGGTTCACATAGTTGGTTGCTGTTATGCATGTCTTTCTGCGCAATGGGAACCAGCGGGGGACTGGCCGGGGCAAAACCATCTTTGGCATGACGGTGGATGTCTGAGAGCCGTGAGGACGTCAAGGCGAATCTCAGCGACCAGCTTGGGGACATGGACCAAAAGCAGCAGGTTCGGTCTGGTGTGTTGCTCGTGCTGATGGGCTGCGTGAGATGTCCTTTCGTAAGATGTTGAGGGCTGGGTCGTCTGATGCAGAGGAAGCAGAAGCCAAGCTGACACAGAAGCTCAATACCATCCACCGGACGCAGGGAGCGCGGTGCCCAGGGTGTGGTATGAACGATGCTGCAGCTAGTTGCGGTTGTACCGACAGGTTTGCATCCTGCCGTGGTGCATGCTTTTGAGGATGCGGAGGCGAATCTGACGGAAAAGCTTTTGGACATCTCAGACAAACAAGAGGTTCGGCACCTGCAGATGAGCCGGCAAGCCTCTCTAACAGGAATTTGCATCTGGAAATCTTTGTTGCAAGGATGTGGAAGCAGCGCTGACTCAGAAGCTCGACAACATCCACCAGATGCAGAAGGAGCAGTGTACGTGTGGTATCTGACATTCTAGTGTGTATATCTATGACATGACCCGAGCCGTTAGGACGTCAAGGCGAATCTCACCGACCAGCTTGGGGACATGGACCAACAACAACAGGCGTGCCTGCATTGAATCCGACCACCCTCTGTCTGCTCGTTTCATGTTGGGGCCCGGGGCTGGGGTCGTCTGAATGGTGAAGCAGAAGCCAAGCTGACACAGAAGCTCAACAGAATCCACTAGACGCAGGATGTGTGCAAACACCCAAGACATTAGCCACCAATGCTGAGTGGCAGAGTGCTCACTTCAAGTGCATAGTCTCCCCATTCCAAGACTCCACTTCAGTTTTGAACAGCACATGCCCTTGATCCCTTGACCCAAGAATGGATCATGTGCATGCGGCAGAATGGCGGCTGCTAGTTGGCTGGTACAGCTTCCCTTGCCCTTGCCAAGGATGCCTAAGAGGTGTTGCTGGTAAAAGGTTTAGAATTTAGGGTTTCGGGTTGATTTAGGGTTTGGGGTTTAGGGTCGATTTAGGGTTTAGGGCTTAGGGTTGGATATAGTGTTTAGGGGCAGGGGCATCTCCATGAGAGTTGTATCTCCAAACTCAGGGCGACAACGGTGGATCCTGTGATGTGATGTTCTCGTGATCTAGGCGGACCCAAACCCCTTTACAGATCCCTTTCTAGAAGCCTTCCAGATCCTTTTAAAGGAACCCAAACCCCTTTAGGCATCCCTTCAGAGAACCCTTCTAGATCCCTTTAAAGGAACCCAAACCCCTTATATAGAACCCTTCTAGATCCCTTTAACGGAACACAAACCGCTTTAGAGATCCGTTTATAGAAGCCTTCTAGATCGCTTTCAAAAAACCACAATTTCCCCGCTGACTCTGGACTTGCCAGGAGTCGTATCGCAATTTCTCCAGCAAGCTGAAGAGCCTCCATGACAGGACCGAGGCGCAGCATCCGGCGTTTCTGACCTTCCAATATGCCTTAATCGAGGAGTATACTTTAAGTTATAGTAGGATCCATCATGGGGTTTAGGGTTTAGGGTTTCGCGCTTGTTTTCCGTGAAAGGTGTACCCCCAATCGGCACGAAGAAAAAGGACGCACGTCCGAAGTCTTCAGCAAAAGCGTCGTTCGTCACGTACGTGGAGCTCTTACATGCCCACCCCAACGAAGCCACCCAGAGCTTCCGTACTGAGCTTAAGTTCTTAAGCGTTTCCGACAGAGAAGCATCTGCACACGAGAGTGCAATCTCTGGTATAGTACTGACAGTACTGTCTAGAGAATATATTACGGAATACTTGTATACACACATGCAGTTACCTGTAAATGGCTGTAATTGTAGCTTTACAATTACCATGTACCTCTAGGTAAGACTAGAATGTCTTTTGTTTCATTCCCGTAACAGGTGGTATAGTACTGACAGTACTGTCTAGAGATTATATTACGGAATACTTGTATACACACATGCAGTTACCTGTAAATGGCTGTACTTGTAGCTTTACAATTACCATTTACCTCTAGGTGAGACTAGAATGTCTTTTGTTTCATTCCCGTAACAGGTGTTATAGTACTGACAATAGCAGCATCAAGCAGCGTCATGTGCAGACAGGCTCGGGACAATCTCTCGAGGAGTTCGCCAACAGATGCTTACCGGATGGCGCCGTCATGGTGGCTGCCATCAAGTGTTCCCGAAAAAGTCCAGACTTTCACAAGCAGTGGCTCTTGCTACACGTGCCATTCCGGCATGTGGACGACCTGTAGAGGCCAGAAGTCGAGTCGGTTCCAGTCAACCTTCAGGGTTTGGCGCTTTGCCTGCTACAGCGTCCCAGGCCTTGGCGCTCCATGCCGGCGATTCGTCGCGAGATGGAGCTGGAAGCCCAGCGGGATAACTTCATCGAAGACGTGCTTGAGGCGACAAAGGCTTGCACCGAGCTCATTGACGAGTACCTGGCGGGCAGACGTCGTATGAGCGACCCTGAGCCGGAGCCGGCCTCCACGGGCAACACGGAAATCCATGACCTGTCAGCGGATCAGACGATGGCGCTCAACGAGATCAACGCGAATGTGAGGCGAGCAGTCGCCGCGCGTTCGCAGGACGACGAGGACGAGGTGCAGTCGTGGCAGCACTCAGCGCAGCGAGCGATGCAGTCAAACTTGTTGGCGTGTCTTGGCCCCGCCGGCACGGGCAAGAGTATCGCAGTGAAGACGGCCATGCGGCAGGCCTTGCAGGCCGGAGCAGTCGTGGGCGTGGCCTGCCCCACAGGACTGCTCGCAACTGCCTACAGATGCGCCTTCAGCGATGCCGTGGTGGACACCGTGCACAGTTTCTTTGGTCTCCACCTGCAAGAGGAGTCGACCTTGGCCATGCTGTCCGATTTCGATCTTATTATCGTTGAAGAAGTCGGTCAGATAGCCCAAGATCATTTCGAGCGAATCCTGAGGCTCTCCGAAGCGGTGGGCAACAGACCATGCATCGTGTTCGTTGGCGATTTTCTACAGCTACCTGCCGTGGATGGCACAAGTGCAAAACAAAGCCATCAGTGGCGCCGGGTGCAAAAGTTCACATTCACCAAACAACTGCGCAGTGCGTGCCCTCGACTGTCAGCGAATCTGCAGCTGCTACGCGGGGCACAGCCAACAGAGCGACAGCTGCAAGGGATCCTACGCGGTCATGGCATCGGCAGTCCAAACAATACCGGGCCGACAGCATCAGACGTTGCAGAGGTCATGCACAGACGTGCAGATGTCACTTTTGTGACATACACACGCCGAGCCGCGGCAGAACTCAATCTTCTGGCGGTCAAGGCTCAGTTTCAACATCATGAGATGGTCTGCCTTCCACTTGATCCCGACAACAATCCGGACAACCTCAGAGGCAAGGAACTCGTCGCGTATGAGGCCGCTTATATGAACGTATGTATAGGCATGCGCTTGGCTCTGACCAGAAATCTCGACAAAGACAACGATCACGTCAACGGCATGGTCTGCACCGTGGAGGGCATCAACCGCCACGGTCTGGAAGTGCGGACGCGCACCGGGCGTCTACTTGTAATTTCCAGAGTGACCGAAGACAAGACCCTGGTGGATGGCACGGCGGTCCGTTGCAGCTTCCTGCCGGTGCGATTGGGCTATGCAATCACACTTCACAAGGCTCAGGGCAGCACCATCGGCTACATGGCACTGTGGCTGGACACCATCAGAGTTCCAGGCGCCGGCTACGTTGCGTTGTCGCGCGTCCGAACGGACGCCAGTTGGTGTTTTTTCGGACACCTGACCGTGGAGCACTTTCTACCTCCTCGGAGTAAGGCCGGTCTAGTTCATGCAAGACTCAGTGAACATAACCCGTGTCGGGAATATGAGCTCTGATGTTTGGACCCGAGTTAATCTGACAATCGTGTCGTTGAAGTAGTCAACATCGCAAGTGAGGTCCCGAGACAATGAGCATGGCATCGCGCCTGGACGCGAGTCTACTGGTGTGTCATCTGTTTCGCCTGCAATTGAGGTCGATTTCCGAACAGAATGTCAGCGATCCGACCCGGCAGGCTCGATTGCTTTTAGTCGCATTCGTTGGCAATTGCTGTGAACGGAGTGTGCACTTACAGGCTCATGACCTTCCATGGGCAGCACCCACAGCGCAGCGTCTCGAGTCAAAAGACGAGCATCTCAGTGCTAGCAGCGGTTGCATCTGTGATTCCTAGCAAAGCGTGTAATAACCGTGGCCGTGCATGCCTAGGAAGTTCGATGCACTCGAAGGTCCCGATTTCATTCGGAGCTCGGGAATGATTTTTGAGATTATATATTTCTGTATAGCACTGACAATACTGTCATACATGCAGTTACTTGTAAATGACTGTAATTGTAGCTTTACAATTACCTGCACCTCGAAGTAAAACTAGAATGTCTTTTGTTTCATTCTCGTACAGGTGTGTTACGCTCCTGTGCGTGAGAAGGCCCAGGCTAAGCATGACACGGATGGTGTAGAGCCGCCACCTGAAAGGAGCGGCGCTGTTTTGCTGCAGAATGTGGCCCCAACCAGTTTGGGCACGTAACACACCCTGTACGGGAATGAAACCAACGACCTTCTAGTCTTACCTAGAGGTAAATGGTAATTGTAAAGCTACAATTACAGCCATTTACAGGTAGACAGCATGTGTGGAGACAAGTATTCCTTAATATATATTCTGTAGACAGTACTGTCTGTAATATACAAAAGATATATTACCCTAAACCCTGCTCGCTGAGACGGTCTGGTGAAAATGGACCCCCGAGTGCTCGTGTGTGCCCAAGCTGGTCGGGGCCACTTTCTGCAGCAAAACAGGGCCGTTCTTTTCGTGTGCTGCCACTAAACCTTCCGGTGTCCACGTAGGCCCAAAGCGGTCGAGGCCACATTCTGCAGCAAAACAGGGCCGTTCTTTTCGTGTGGCTCCACTAAACGACTCCTCGGTCCAGGGCTCAGGGAGCTCCCGGGGTCTAGGATCAAAAAATGGATCCCCGAGTGCTCGTGTGCTCCTGTACGTGAGAAGGCTGAAGCTGAGCATTCAGGCTTAAGCTTTTGAGTTTTGGGTTTAGGGTTTAGGGTTTAGAGGCTGGCCTCCGGGGGCACGGCTCCGCTCGCAGATGCCTTGAGGCCATTGCGGCAAATATCACGGACAAGCTGCGTGACATCCACCAGAAGCAAAAGGTGCAGCGGCAGCACCTGTGTCTGTTAGGATTTCGCATAGGGCCAAATCGGGAACCAAAAGCGCCGTAGACATGGAAAAAAAGCCTAACCCAAACACAAACTCCTAAACCCGGAACCTTGTAAGACCCACACTGAGAGAGGGCTGCGCAGGAAGTCGATACACGACCAAAAATGCCTGCCGGGATTCGGGCGCTGTGCTGATTTGATTCGTTCCGAGTCACCTCAAAGGAATTCCATGGAGTTCGCGCCCTTCCTTAGGCAGAAGTGCCGAATTGGCCTCGGCGAAACAACGCTGTGACATAGCGATGGGCACATCGTCCCATTAATCTCACCTTCTGGTTTGCGCTGGACCCTAAACCCTGAACCCTGAACCCTAAACCCTGCAATAAAAAACCCTAAACCCTATAACCCCTGAGCGTTAAGACGCTTGTTGCGCTCGGGCCCTCCAACTGGAGCGCTGGCGGAGCAGTCGGAGCGGAGAGAGTCCTAGGCCCAAGATTCGTTTAGATCCAGACTCTAGAGGGGTAGGATTCTAATCATCAATCATAATGACAATAACAACAATATTAGCAACAACCGTGATAGTGATAGTGATAGTAGTAGTAGTAGTAGTAGTAGTAGTAGTAGCAGCAGCAGCGCGAGGGTACTGCAACACCAAAGGACGCGGAGGGCAACTTGGAGAGCATCCTGCGCGACACGATCCACCAGACGCAGGGAGCGTGAGACCCAGCTTTCGCTGTGACGGTTCAGGTTTTTTTGTGTTTTAAGGGTTTAGGGGTTTCGGCTTAGGGATTTAAGGGTTTAAGGTTTAGGGGTTGGGGTGTTTGGGGTTTTAGGGTTTGGGGTCAGGGTGCTTAGGCTTTTAGGGTTTAGGATGTGTAGGGTTTGGGGGTTAAGGTGTTGAGGGTTTGAGGTTTTAGGCTTTAGGGTTTTAGGGTTTTACGGTTTTAGGGTTTAGGTTCAGGGTGTTCAGGGTTTCAGGTTTTAGGGCCAGGGTTTGGGGTTTGCGGTTGTGTTCACCGTTGGGCCAAGTCTTTCTCTTCTGGCCTTTTCGTGAGGATGTCGCCGCGAACCTCACAGAAAAGCTTACCGACATCTACGACAGACAGGAGGTGCAGCACAAGCTTTCAGATGAGTGAGTGACGTTCCACCTCCAAGCTGGAAGCATAGTTGAAAGTTGCACAAAACCCTAAAACCCTAAACCCTAAACCGTGGCAAGGATGTGAAAGCCGAGCTGACTCAGCAGCTCGACAAAATTCACCAGAAGCAGAAGGTGGGTGGTTGTCAAAATTGGGGTCCCTTTTGGGGTCTGTAGTATAGTATATTCCTTATAGTTCAACGGATGGAAAGGGGCCCCCCATAGTTTTGATCAACCCCCAGGTGCGGGCTTTGGGGATCTGCTCCTGTGAAGTACCTTTAGCCGGGCTTCTTGGGGAGTTCTCTTTGTCGCTGTGGATGTCAGGGTGTACTCGGAAGTCCGGGGTTGAGGCATCGCACTTAGAGGATCATGGGACTTAGTAGCTAGGGTTATAAGTAAGGTAGCTATACTTAAAACTACTTATAACCGCAATGAAGGTACTTACAACCTTACTTACCAAGTCCCATGAGACTCTAAGTAGTCTTGATGTGGTCCTTGCGCGCAGGATGTAGAAGGCAACCTCACTGAGAAGCTCAGCAACCTCAACGACACTCAGGGGGTGCGGCACTTGGGCTCCTGCAGCTGGCTGGCACGGGGGTTTTCAACATCATGGACCCTTACGGTCTCTTCCTTATCGCTAGGATTTACATTTCAACCCTAAACACCCTAAACCCTAAACCTATACCGTGCTCAGGCGTTGCTGGACGACACCCAGGTGAAAGTCCAGGACGGTGGAAACTCGGGCAAGAGCTCCGCTCCTTTGCCTTCGGACGTCGAGTGCAGTATCTCACGGTACATGAGAAGGTATAGCTCCTTTGAGCACACTGAGCCCTAAGCCAGAAACAGGACTTTGAGGGCCGAATCATGGACAAGTTGGAGAACATCAGCCAGATGCAGGAGGCTGGCACACTGAACTACCGGGTGCATGGCACGTTACGCACGAGGCAAGGCGAGAACGGAATGCGGATCAATAGCCAGGCTTTGCCTAGTATGCAGATAGGCCTGGATGGCAGGGTGATGTTCTCTTGTCTGATTGTGGCTTGCGTCGCTTTCCCATCACTTCTTGAGAGTATGCGTTCTAGATCCTTGTTATTAGGTTATGATCGTATATACATATATATATGTACATACATACAAAGCTAATTGTAATATATACATGGTCTTCCCATCATCCAAACCATCCCAGGCTTCAGGCGGTTGCTTCAACTGGAGGTTAACACACTGAAGGGGCCCAACATCGAGGCCGAAAACCAGAATCCCTAGATTTAAGGCTGGGCGAGTATACCCTTTAAAGGCTTCTGATGCCAGAAGCTGTGGTCAGTGATGACATGTGGGCACTGCTCTAAATTCACCTCCCCGTTTAGATCCCAAACCCTTGCAAAAAGGACCCTGAACGCCCTGTTAACGTGCCATACTCTTTTCGGGGACCTAAGAAGGGACCCGAATGTAAAGAACTGCCAGTAACATGAACGCAAGTTCTAATATCAATACCACGTAGTATTAATACTAATACTCACACAAATACTCATATCAATACCCCTAAACCCTAAACCCTAAGCCCTAAACCCTTAAACCCCAAACCCCTAAACCCTCAAACCCTAAACCCTTATACCCTAAACCCTTAAACCTTAAACCCTAAACCCTAATGCTAGTGCGCAGGATGTGCTCAGCAAGAAGGTGGAAGACCTCGAAACGAGGCTCCAGGCCGAATCCCGAGCTTCTCCCATCAGAGCCCCCGAAAAGGGTGGGTGCTTGGAGGGTCGGGGGACTTAGCAACTGGTTATTTTAGGGACTTATAAGTACCATAACCCCAACGAGGGCCCTTTTTTGGGGTACTTGTAAGTCTACTTACTACCTACTTACTAAGTCCCCCGACCCTCCAAGTGAGTGGGGGGGTGGGGGGTGGGGTTTTTAAGGATCCCTTTAAAGTAACCCTGGGAATATTCCTTACTTAAGGGGTGCTTAAGGGATCATGGGACTTAGTACCTGGGGTTATAAGTAAGATAACCATACTTATAACCCCAATTAAGGTACTTATAACCTTATTCACTAAGTCCCATAATCCTTTAAGGGGGGGGTGGTGCGGCTTTATGGCCAAAGACCCGTCTGTGGTTTTGATGTTGAAGAATACCTGAACATTCGCTGGCGTAGCCTAGATGTTCAGTGATATCTCATCAGTAGTATTTCAATCAGCTGCTCCCTCAGTTTGCTGAGAAGTCATAAGTTGCAAGTTGCCACAGGTGCCGGATCATGCCTGCATACAAGACATGAGCAACAGAGTGGTTGTCAAGATTATGATCCCTTTTTGGGTCCTTATTATATTACGGTACCTAATATTTAGGGTACCCAAAGAAGGACCATAATTTTGACAACTACCCAACAGAACCTTGACCCGCAAAGCTGCAAAGCTTTGCTTACCAGAGGTCTTGGAAGATCGCTCCGCTATTACGAACATTCTCGTGACCGGGTTGCTGGCAGAGACCCTGTGCTGTCTGAGACACTGGAATCCGGAGTTTCATCGGCGCACAGGGAAACCCACCAGGGTATGCGGAGCTGTGGGTTCGTAGAGCGTCCCTTGGGCGGTCTGTGGGTTCCTTCGCGTCATCTGAAGCTCTGAGGTGTCACGGTCTCGGGTTCTGCCCCCCAAGCTTCAGAGCAAGAATCCCAGGTGAGATCGATTGACTCTTCAGTCCGTGCAACTGCATCTAGCTGCAGTTTGTCAGAGCCTTGGCGCATGTCCTTCAGTTGGGTCTTTGCCTGGAAGGTTTCAGCTGTATTCCGCGCAAAGCATCGCACTTAGAGGATCATGGGAGTTAGTAACTAGGGTTATAAGGTAACTATACTGAAAGCCACTTATAACCCCAATTAAGGTACTTATAGCATTGCTTACTAAGTCCCATGATCCTCCAAGCAGAGCTAGGCTTCTTAGCAGCCGTGCCACGCTGTCGCAGCCCTTTTGGGGGAAGCCACAGCCCAGGAGAAGACACACACTTGTTGTACTATAGAGGCAATGACTACCTATACTGTTTTGGGGGTTCCCCATTATAACTATAGTATAACGTACCCGAAAACTCTATTCTACTTATTAATGCCCCTATCTTAGATCTTCAGGGCAGAGGGGTTTAGGTACACGTCTGTACTTTTTGGTCCCTGAAGTTGAAAAGATGGGAGTTTCCGATTTTGGGGTCCTTTAAAGGGATATTACAAGGGTCTATAAGGGGCCCCTTCAAAGGGCTCTACATGGGTAATTTGGGATACCTTATTTTGGGGTCCTTCCAAAACGGATCCTACTATTTAGCTACTTTATAAGGGTCCCCTATTGTCGGAACCACTCCCATATGATCTAGAAGCGTAGTGAAGCGCTGATCAGGATGCCAGGAACGTGATGATCATCCAGGGGCCCAATGCTTCGACCTCGAAGACGTATGACCTCTTCACAGCCGTTGTGGCGCAGAGGGCTGGAATTGCATCTCAGATGGCACTGGACGTGCACAACAAACTGGACGAACAGCAGTTTTGAGGGACCCCAAAAGCACATAAGCATAAGCATTTTATGGGGATATCCCTACCTTATTGGGCTTCATTATAAGGGGATTTATATGGGAGATCCTATCCTTATTTTGCTTATGTGCTTTTTTTGGGCCCTATTCTCACGTCTCACATGGCTTCACTCTTAACACGAGCTGAGCTAGGGCGTTCTAGAGCTACGATGCGAGGGCTGTCTCCTCACAATCAGCCCCCTCGTGCCCTGGAGGTTTTTTTTCTCCAAATAGCAGTTAAACGCTCAACGCTAAACCCTTGAACGCCGAAATTCTAAACCCTGAACCCCCCTGAACCCCTGAACCCTAAACCCTGAGCCCTCAACCCCCAAGCAGCCCTACCCCCCTAAACCCAAACCCCTAGTATAGATATATTGGGACCTGAATAGTAGCCCTATTCTCGGGCCAGTACCTAACCTAAACTGCAGGTCACCCACAAGCTGCTGGGATCATTGGAGCTGGAAGACTTCGAGGATCTCTCCACGGTGATCCTGGCCCCGCAGGTGCTTCGAAGTCTGGGGTTCAGGGTTCCTCTGCTTGGAGGATCGTGGGACTTAGTAGCAGGGTTATAAGTAGGGTAACTATACTTATAACTACGTATAGCAATTAAGGTAATCACTTATAACCTTACTTACTAAGTCCCATAAACTTCCAAGTAAGGGTGCGCTAAGGGTTTGGGATTCCCTTAAGTGTGCCTTTAGGATTTAGGGTTCGTTTAGGGGCTTCGGATTTCAAGTTCCTTTCTGGGTTTAGAGTTAGTTACGGGTCCTTTAAGGGCACTAGATTCAGGCCACCAGTTGCAGCAGTAGTCTACTCCTCGATGCGGTATACTAGACTGGCAAAGCATACCGGCCTGAAATCATGGTCATACCTTGCCGAGCAGGATAATCCCTGAACTGCCAGGATTTTTGTCGCTACAGATGGATTGATACAAAGATAGATAGATAAATATTTCGAACCACCTATACATATACATATATATATATATATATATATATCTACAAACATAAGCATGCATATATACATACATATATATATATATGTTTATATACGTAACTGTACATGTAATATGTATGTACTATGTATATGTATTACATGAGGCTATACTTTTCCGTTGAAGTGCGCGGCGTCCTCAACAGCTGCTGTGTGGTCAACTAGGCTTCAGGCTTAAGATAAGAGGTGGAGAAGAGGGGTTTGCTACGGTTGATGATTTGAATCCTGCATTGCCCATAAGAAGGAATATACCATAATTCCTACAGTCTCGGGTCATTAAGGTAATGCAGGATTTATATCATCAACCGTAGCACCTTGGCTTTGACATGCTGCCCGCCGCTCGCGAGGAAGACGATGCGGGCCAGCCACAGGCGCATGTTGCACGCTTGCTTCAGAAACTTACCTTTGGCTAGCAGGGAATGGAAGAATGGTAGTAATAGTAGTTAGAACTGTACCCGATTCCTCCATCTACTAACCAAAGGTAAGGACATGGACGATGAAGGTGCTTGAATGTGTCTTTCCCTGCATCGTTCATGGTTCCTTGGGCTGCCTTCACCCAGAGAGCCCAATACCCTTTAATTAAGGAATGTAGCTTAAACGATAAGGGGGTTCATATTATGATTTAAGCTATATTTCTCAATTAAGGGGTATTTGGCTCTCTGGGCACTGAAGTCGGCGTCCGGCACAGGGCACTGTGGATAATGTGCAGCTGCAGCTTGTGGCCGACTGGTACAACTACAACAAGTGCTGCTTGGCACACCTTTCCCGTGTAGGCCTTATGCTCTCTCAGCATGCACAAGACTGTGCTGACACAGGGGCCTAAAGAGTTGAAATAGGGTTTTGGTGTATAGTATACTATAACCATACCCCGAAATACGGTTGATGATAGAAATCCTGCATTACCTGAATGACCCGACACTGTAGGAATTATGGTATTTTCCTTATTATGGGTCATGCAGGATTTATATCATCAAATGTTGTATTTTTGCAGGATCAGACTCCTGGAACTCGAAGGATTGAAGAACAAATAGGTACGGGTTGACCCTCAAACATCCCCGTGATCCGGGACAGCTTCCCAGACCCTCAGAAAGGATCCAAAAAGTAGATCCCTGAATGTGGGTGGGGTTCCTATAAAGTACCCTTAGTATAGGGCCCCAAATTAGGGGATCTACTTTCTAGATCCTCCCGGGGGTCTGGGAAGCCATAAAAGCCCGTAAACTTTGCTTGGATGCGAATGAACTGGAATAGGGCAGCAACTGTGCCAAATCAGGGATGCAGTACGCAAGCCAGAGTACTCCCCCACTTCTCCTGGCTCCAGGAATCGTGACCCCTAAGATTCCAATATGATTAATTAAGGAATATACCTTCAATTGTAGTAGGGTGCCTCGTATGATCTAAGGAATATTCCCTAATTAAGGGATATTGGAGTCTCTGGGAAGGTGGGGTGCTGGTCATCTTGGCGGAGTTCGCGTCCACTTCAAGCTCAGGCTTTAGTGTGGACACGGCGAACGCCATTTTAGAACGTGCAGCCGGCAGCAACCAGAATTTGAAAGGGGCAGTTAGCGGGTACTTGGAAGATCATGGGACTTAGTAAGTCAGGTTATAAGTACCTTAATTGGGGTTACAAGTATAGTTACCTTACTTATAACCCTAGTTACTAAGTCCCATGATCCTTTAAGTACGGCGGCCGGAAATCTCGCATCTCCTTCAGCTGTTTTTTGGTAATGGCGATACTGAGGGTTTCAGGACAGTTTCCTTGGCACAATCCTGGAAGCAATGGTGTGTAGTCTTGGCGCAGAGCCGGTTCAGAGTGCGAAATGAGCAGATCCTTAAACCCTAAACCCTAAACCCTACTTAAAGGATCATGGGACTTAGTAACTAGGGTTATAAGTAAGGTAACTATACTTGTAACCCCAATTAAAGTACTTATAACCTGACTTACTAAGTCCCATGATCCTCTAAGAGAGCCCAATAATACCTTAATTAAGGAATATACCCTAAACCCTCAACCCTAAACCCTAAACCCCTAAACCCTAAACCCTAAACCCTAAGCCCTACTCTCTCCGTCAAGTTCCACAACAGGTCGGGCTCGGGGCCGGAACTTTCTTACTGTAGTGTAAGATCGCCTATCCGCCTGTAGTAGACTGCATTCTCCTACATTTCAATACACTCCTTCCTTATTATAGTACACTGTCCTTGGACCGAGAGGAGAATGTTCCATTTTGTTCTACTCCGGAAGACATTTTGTTGGATGCCCCCGTGACTACTGTGCACAAGATGCGCTTAGACTACACTGTGAACACAAGCCTGATCGCAAGTGCAATGACATCTGGAGTCTGTTTAAAGCCTTGAAACAAAATACACCCTAAACCCTCCACATGAAAACCTAAACCCTGAAGCAAGCTGGAAAGATGCTGCTTAATTTTTATTTCCAGCGGCACCTGCAGTGCGCCGTACTCAGCGCGGGCAAGCCACGCAGATGTTGTGGAGTGGCACAGGGCTACTGTAGGAGCCGAAATAATTACCCGTACTATTCTGGGGTTCCTTGTTATAATGAGAGTATAACGGGCCCAAAACCCTATTCTAATTCATAAGGCACCAATATTATCATGTCCAGGAGCATTTCCCCGTAACCCAAGCTGCTGTGTTCTTTGACATGGGCTTCTCAGACCAGATATAGCCGATGGCCGGGGTATGGGGGTGTTGTTGTCTTCCGGCTGGAGGAGTCTGTGATGAAGAACACCCACCGCCACGCCCACTATAGGAGCCTTGATAATCAGAATAGGTTTTGGGGCCCATTATACTATACTTACAACAAGGAACCCCCAAACTAGAATATGTAATTATCAAGGCCCCCCTATAGTACACCCGTGTAATGGCCCTCATAGAGTCCCTTCTAGGACCTTTTTAAGGGGAACCCTTTAAACGAAGCCTGTCCTCATTTTTTAAGGCCCCCAGAAGTACTTAAAGCATCATGGGACTTAGGAACTAGGGTTATAAGTAAGGTAAATATACGTTTAACTACTTGTAACCCAAATAAAGTTACTTATGACCTTACTTACTAAGTCCCATGATCCTTTAAGTACCAGTGCCCAGGCTTGTATCCAGAAACGCCGCTTCGCGTGTCGACGAGGTCCCTCGGGCCGCCTTCGTGCCAAAACGACCAGATTGAGTCTGCGCGGCAAGGGTTCCATAAGACAGGGTTTGGGGGTTAGGGGTTCAGAGGTTTGGTGGTTTAGGGGTTTAGGGTTCAGGGGTTAAGAATTTGGGGTTTAGGGGTTAGAGGTTTAAGGGTGTGGGGGTTCAGGGTTTAGGGTTTTAGGGTTTGGGGGTTTTGGGGTTTACGGTTTTAGGGTTTAGGGGTTAAGGTTTAGGGGTTTAGGGTTTAGGGGTTTAGGGTTTAGGGGTTTAGGGGTTTAGGGGTTAAGGTTTAGGCTTTCAGTGCGCTTGGCCATTTTTTGCTAGCAGTGCCAACGAGCGCCTGGTGTGACATCTCGGTGTGTCAGAGCCCGTTGTTTCCTTTGACCCGAGCTTCAACTGGAGTTCCCCTTCCTCAGGAAGCATTCCTCGATCCATTCTTCTTTGATCCCGTGACGCAGCTTGCATCCACCACGGCCGTGGAGGCCAGACTTCCGACGCGAGGTCAGCGTTTCCCTTCCCAAACTCAGAGAGCCCAAGGCTTTAACAAGGAAAGTCTTTGGAACTTAATTCCTAGCCCGATGAGAGCCCTGTTGTCATCACATTGAAATGCTAGCTGTTCAAGTACGGCGTAAAGAAGGGCCCAGGCTTTGTCGGCTCTTGGCAGGAGCTTTGAAAAGGGGAGTGGACAATGGTTACGGTTACTGCGTGGCTTTGAACACCTGTTCCCGCACTATGCAATGCGGGACCTTTATACTCCCGTGTATAGTATGTTGTGGATAGTATAGTATAATATGGTAGAGTAGAGCGCGGACCAAAATATTTTCAATGTCCTAGAACTGTGGAAGACCTGTTTTGCATCTCGACACAGGTGACTGGCGGTGGACGGGCACTGCTGAGCATCAACGGCCGGCCGGAGCAATTAGAGGGCTCTGTAAAGGGTTCCTATTTTAAAGGGTTCCTGTAATGAGTGCTAGGTTCACAATGGGGTTCCTATAGGAGGTACTAAGTTCCTTCTGGTTTAGGGTTCAGGGGTTCAGGGTGTAGGGTTTGGAGCTCGGCAATGAGAGCGGCACAGCTTCTGGTGTTGCAGACATTGTGAAGGAACCCTGCAGGTTAGTGTTTAGGATGCAAGGTTTGGGGTTCCTGGGCATCAGAGAGTGTGAGTCTAAATGTCATGTCATCATCTCGGCTTCGTTTCTTGTCATAAAGGCGGTCGGATTGTCAGAGATGATTCCCTCTGAAGCCTAATATATGGCCGTACTAATGACTAATTTGGGTTCCTTATTATACTTAGAGGATCATGGGACTTAGTAACAAGTGTCATAAGTAAGGTAACTATACCTACAACTACTTATAACCCCAATTAAGGTACTTATAACCTTACGTACTAAGTCCCATGATCCTTTAAGTAGTTATAGTATAACGGGCCCCACACCCCCTGAAGGCCCCTATTTTGCTCCTAGAAACTCCCCACATCCGATGCCTGGGGCTTACACGGAAGATCCCAGGAGATTTCAAGGGCCCGACGCCATGCACAATGTGGCAGTGCATGCCCTTAAGCCCTAAACCCTAAACCCCTAAGCCCTAAGCCCTAAACCTTAAACTCTAAACCCTAAGCCCTAAGCCCGAAAGCCCGAAGCCCTAAACCCTAAACCCTCAACCGTAAACGCATGGCAAGAGCAAGGTAGGGTCCCGCTTGAGTTGCCGGTTCTTGTGTTGTTGCAGAGTATTCCATGGTGAATGGAGCGTGCTAAAGCCTAAACTCCAAACCGTAAACCCCACACCCTTAACCCCAAGAGCCCTCAGGAAAAAAAGCCTAACGAAAGCCCGCCTAAACCCTAAACCGTGCAAGAAGCCACGCAAGGCAAGACATTGGCTCGCCTTGCAAACACGAACCGTTTGGTGGTGACGCTTGTTGCCGCGACGTCGGTCTCGTTTTGCAGTTTTGGGCCTATGAAGCGTAGCTAGACTGGCACCCAAAAACCGGGTATGTTGCTATCCACCGCCTGAAGTGAAGCCCAGTATCGTTTGACCGCGATAGTGGGGCACCATCCAGGTAGGAAGCACTAACCCGGCAAGGGCAGACTTGTTGGAGGTGTGAAGATGTAGAAGTGCTCATACTTGGAGGATCATGGGACTTAGTAAGTAAGGTTATAAGTACCTCAATTGGAGTCATAAGTAGTTATTAGTATAGTTACCTCATTTATAACCCTAGTTACTACGTCCCATGATCCTGTAAGTGCCCATATTCAGGGTCAACGACGGTCTGTTGTAGGCCTTTTGGTGGTGGTGCAGTGTCACTTTTGCATCATGTTGTCAGATAGTAGACCCTAAACCCTGAACGCTTAAACCTTGACTCCCAAACCCCTAGACCCCTAAACTCCTAAACCCCTAAACCCCCTAAACACCCTAAACACCCGAAAGATCCCCACGAGCCCAGAATTGGCGACGACGATTTCCTCAACGACGAGTGCCAGTCAGGGTGGTCGGAAATAGGCCTTGGCGGGGGGTTTCCAAAAGCTGGCGCCAATAAAATACCTATCTGTCATGAAGTATGGAGCTATATATTGTAGCTATGGTATAGCTATAACATAGCTATAATATAGCAATGCTAGACTATGTTGTAGCTACAAATACTATAACATACTATAATGTATTATAGGAAAGTATAGTATATTATTCTTTCGTATACCATAATACACTAGAGGTTACCATAATATAACATGATAGCCGGACGGCTTGTTTGCCTCGATTTCAGACGGCTTTTCCGGCTCGCGGATTTCAGCGGCGGGCCAGTACTCACTGCCCCAACCGCCTACGCCGTAGACCTTAGAATCACAAAACCAACAATCTACTGTAAACCCCAAACCCTAAGCCCTCAACCCCAAACCCCAAACCCTAGACTTTCAACCTTAGACTCCGCATTGTCTCAAAGCTAGTATTCTTTCGAGATGACGTTTATTTGGGATGTTGGGTTCAGGATGTAGGTGGTTGTCAAAATTAGGGTCCCTTTTTAAATACCCTAAATAATAGGTGCCGTATTATATTAGGGACCCAAAAAGGGACCCTATTTTTGACAACTACCCAGGTAGGGGGAATTGGGGTTTTGGGACCTCGGGGTTCCTTGTGAGCGCGACGGTCATGCTTTCCATGCGTAGCGCTGTACTGTGGAAAAAAACCTGACTTCCCGACGCACCCCGAAGCCCTTAACTGACCACTCTATTGAGGTAGAGTGTAATACTTAGAGGATCATGGGACTTAGTAACTAAGGTTATAAATAAGGTAACTAGACTTATATCTACTTATAACCCAATTAATTAAGGTACGTACAACCTTACTAAGTCCCATGATCCTCTAAGTATGGGCATGGGGGCCGATAGCACTGAACTTTTAAGCCTAGGCCCCAACACCCTGAAAGCCCTAAACCCTAAACCCTGAAACCCTGAAAACCCTAAATCCTAAACCCTAAACCCTAAACCCTAAACGCAGGAAACACCGCCTTTGCCAACAACCTCTTGGACCTAGCTGCAACGCTGCTTCCGCCGGCCCCAGAACTGCCAGAAGCTCTGACGGTCACTTGTCCTATGGCTTTAGGGAGGGGTTCCTTTAAAGGGGTCTATAAGGGTTACGGTTGCTATAAGGGATCTATAAGGGTACTATAATACTAAACCCTAAACCCCTAAACCCCTAAACCCCTAAACCCCTAAACCCCTAAACCCCTAAACCCCATGGGTTTCGTTTGTTTTTGGGGGGCCTGGGATGTTCTTCGAGCTTTCGGGCCTTGGAGGGCCTCCAGTATTTCGCCCCTAAGCCCCAAAACCCTAAACCCTAAAATTAGGGGCTTGGAGGTTTTGGAGCCTTGTATTTCGGGGTTGCTTACCTTTGCTTAGAAGGGAATGGAGGAATGGGGTAGAATTAAGACTACTATGACTACCATTCTTCCATTCCCTACTAACCAAAGGTAAGGTTGGGGTTTTGGTGGGTTCGGGGGCCTGGCCTGTACTTGGAGGGTCGGGTTAGTAGCTGGTTATTTTAGGGACTTATAAGGACCAGACCCAGTTATGGCCCCTTTTAGGGTGCTTATAAGTCTACTTACTACCTACTTGCTAAGTAGGATGCCATTCTCAGAATCTGCGAGAGGGGCTGCCTCTGTTGGGCCCAGCTGCTCCGAACTCCTAAACCCCTAAACCCTAAACCCCTAAACCCCCCAAAGCCCTAAAACCCCCCAAAGCCCTAAACCCTGAACCCTAAACCCCTAAAGCCCTAAACCCTGAACCCTTTTGCAAGGTCGGGACCACCAACACGTCCAACGCCACTTGAGGTAGCGGATTACGCCGCGGCTCTCGAGGCCTTGTTGTGCTCACAACGGGAGCGAGTTTTGACTACGAAGAACAAACCCAGAGAGCCTCCTAAACCCCTTAATTAAGGAATATACTATAGTTTGAGGTATACTCGTTAATGAAGGGATATTGGAGTCTCTGGGAACAAAGACCTTTGCCGCCTTCACCGGTTCGAGAATGGCTGTCATGACGGCAGCCCGGACCACGGCGAAGTTGACTGTGAGCCTGAGATTTTCAAGCGGTGCAAGTTTTGTTCTGCCTGCCATGAGAGGCAGGAGGCGGCAAAGCTATGCCGATTGCCATCTTGGTGCTTCAGAGTCTCTACATTTTAGATGCTTTCTCTGAGGGGTTGACCTGAAAATGTACGGCCCCCCAGCCCAACGAAGTTGATAATTGAGCCAGAGTTTTGTTCCCAGAGACTCCAATATCCCTTAGTTATGGAATATACTGCATAAATTATAGTAGGATCCCTAATATGATTTAAGGATTATTCTCAATTCAGGGATATTGGAGTCTCTGTGTTTTTGCTTGCCCATTAAAACATGTGGCAGCAATGCAACATGTTCAGATTTCTGGCAGTTCTGGTGCTTAGGTTGTCTTGCGACAGCAAGCGCTTGTCTGTGTTTTTGGGCTTCCCCCGTCGGGGGATGCCTGACAGCGGCCTCAGTGCAGCAAAGACTGTGATCGGGCACTAGCCAAGAGCAAGATTCTTGCAGGAATGCACCCCGGCCCCCGCGGCAGCAAGCAGAAAGGAGCGGACATGTGGCCTAGGCTGCCCTGCAGGATCTTGAAGTGGTCTTTCTTCTCGGCGCACTCAAAGTTGAGAAAGTTCGGTGGTACCCGCTTTCCCGGCCTTTTCCCCGCTCCCCCAAGGGCCGATAAGGGGATCCAAGGCGTAGCATTGGGATTTTCGCAAGAGGGATCCGAAGGGTCGGTCCAGCTAATGTAAGAGCAAACCCTGCGAGTATAGAAATCCGAACCCTCATACAGACCAGAGGTCCCCTAATCAGGTTCCGATATGGGAGTTTCCGAAAATTAGGGTTACCTTATTTGGGGGCCCTTATAATCAGGATCCTACTATTTAGGGCACTATAATAGGGTCCCCTATTTTCGGAAACTCCCATATTATGACATCGCCGCCAACGGCCACCGGAGCCCCGCAGGCAGTCGAAGACTACATTCTGCATTTGGCAGGTGTAACTGGTAGAGCTGAAAGCATCAGGGGGTTGTTTGGGAGCAGCTTTGGGTTTAGGGTTTAGGGTTTAGCTCACTCATTCTCGGCTCCATGCGCAGAAATGGCCCAAGATCACTCCAAAGTATTCTTTGCTGTGGCCGTTTTGGTTTCATGGTAGGATACCCTATAATTTACCAGAAAAGGGTTGGGATCATCATATTCCAACTTTCTGGCTTTTACCTTAGCCGTTTTGGCCCGAAGGATCGGTGATGGGGAAGGGTGAGCCGAAGTGCATCACTCAGGCCCCTCCAAGTTTATCCGCATTCGAGGCTTGTTTGCAACAGCTGAGGTTTAGGGGTTTAGGGGCTTAGGGCTTTCGGGTTTAGGGGTTTAGGGGGTTTAGGGGGTTTAGGGGTTTAGGGGTTTAGGGTTCCGGTAGTGTCGTGTCAGGCTTGTCACTTGAAGCAGATGCACTAGAAGGGGGCCCCCACCCTGTAATAGTGGTATAATAGGAATAGAATAGGGCCCAAATATGATCCTTATAGTCATTATTGCAGGGTGGGGGCAGCTTCTAACAGATGCATCTGGTAAGGCCATCCTAAGAGCCAGTTCTTCACCATCCGGGCATCTGGTCGACACTTGGTGGGAGAAATTCGGAGGAGCCCAGAGAGCCCGCTTAACTCATAGTATTACTTAGAGGATCATGGGACCTAGTAAGTAAGGTTATAAGTACCTTAATTGGGGTTATAAGTAGTTATAAGTATAGTTACTTTAGTTATAACCCTAGTTTTCTAAGTCCCATGATCCTCTAAGTAACCCCCTTTATAACTTAAGGTATATTCCTTAATTAAGGCAGTATTGGGCTCTCTGGGAGCATGCGCAAGCTTGCAACTATACCAAGGCCAAGGTGCTGACACGCTTTCCCCGCCATGTGGAAGGCGCGGGGGGAAGTGCGAAGGCAGCCTTTACATAAAATGCCGTCCGCCCGAATGTTGAAAGGGTTGCTTGTTTTATGTGCTCTTACAAGGCTCGGGGGGAAGTCAATACAGAGATCCTGCTAAGCCCAGCATCTTTGTCATAGTTGGGTAACATTTTACATTTCTATGGGTACTTAAACCCAATAAGGAAGACAAATGTAAGTTGTTAATCCTATCCTAACCATGAACTACTTAGTCCCGTACATCCCATATAAAGCCCGTATAGATCCCCAAAACCCTAAACCCTAAACCCTAAACCTGCGGAAGGTTTCCCTTGGATGTCTGGTGCTGGCGACCCTGGCCGCACAGCGCCGGCCTCTGGCTCGCCGTATCTGCAGGTTTTTGTGTGTTCATATGGGTGGCTGTCAAAATTATGGTAGCTTTTTGGGTCCCTATTATAGTACGGCACCTAATATTTAGGCCAAAAAAGGACCCTAAATTGACAACTACCCATATATACTTAGGATATGCCTTAACCTACCACAACCTACTTTTTTTGTAGGGTCCATATAGATTCCATATCAGGCGTTCTAGTAAGAACCTCAAAACAGCAGGGTTTGGTTGGTTCAGGTAGGATTCAGGGCCTAGGGAATCGGAGTGCCTCAGAAACCTTCAGATCGCCTGCCTCTCGGAGTGGAAGAGCCTAGAGGTTTGTAGCGCCGTGGTGGTATGGTGTCGACGGGTGATGCCCCACTTAGAGGATCATGGGACTCAGTAAGTAAGGTCATAAGTACCTTAATTGGGGTTATAAGTAGTTATAAGTATAGTTAGCTTAGTTATAACCCTAGTTACTAAGTCCCATGATCCTCTAAGTAAGGCTCCTGTGCAAGCCCTGACGCAGACCCAAGACTTCCCTAAACCCTAAACCTTTGCGGCGAAGCTGCATCTGTCCAGCAAACTGGACGCTAGGAAGTAGTCATGATTTGGGCATCCGAAGCAAGGGCGACGGCACCACCTCAGACCAATATGGGGGTTTCCGAAATATGGCGGGTTGCATGTTGGGATCCTTTTCCGCACAAGGAGCTCATCAATGCTTGGCTATCTCGCCTATACAGTGACCTAGTGCTGGATGACACAACGACAGAATCCCCAGAAGCAGTTTCTGAAAAACCAAGCTTCACATCCAAATCGTAAGCTTTGCACAGCCCTTGTGCAGACCTTGAACTCAGGTCGCCCGAGTACGATGACACGATTCTCCTGCAGCGGAAGTCGCAGAATCCAATTCGGGCTTTGTTCCTTTGTCAAGCAGAGGGAGTGCGCTATACTGATTTCGTCTCCTGTTCTTCCCGTTTGGCTTCCTGGTTTTCTTGGGGCAAACCCCCAAAAACCGAGGCAGCACCGAGAGTCCCAAAAAGGTTCCCAGCTGAGCACGCGGTCTTTGACTTGTAGGTTTGACTTGGACTGTTGAATTTGTAGAAGAGGGTTTGGGCTATCAGCAAGCTGCACCCCGAAACTTGGGATTTCGCCTAGCACCGGAGGATCCGCCACTCCCTGGCTCTTTTCCGCAGCTCTTGAGAGCCGGAGAGCCCTTTGTGAGTCTCCTTCGCCCTCCAAAACCCTAAACCCTAAGCCCCAAACCCTAAACCCTAAGCCCTAAACACCTAAACCCTAACCCTAAACCCTAAGCCCTAAACACCTAAACCCTAACCCTAAGCCCTAAACCCGAAACACTAAACACCTAATCCCTAACCCAAACCCTAAACACCTAAACCCTAACCCTAAACCCTAAGCCCCAAACCCGAAACACTAAACACCTAAACCCTAACCCAAACCCTAAACACTAAACCCAAAACACCTAAACCCTAACCCTAAACCCTAAGCCCTATACACCTAAACCCAAAACACCCTAAACCCCGACCCTAAACCCTGAACCCTGAACTAAGCCCTTTTTCCTTCCCTCGCAGCTCTTGGCACCCTGGGAAGCTTAGAACTGGGCCGAAGGCCGAGCACACCTTGTTGCCAATGTACTGGGTTCTTGTTAAGGGGTTTAATTTCAGTTACCATAGTAAGGAAACCATAGTATTTGTATTATAGATCCTTACTATGGTAGCTCAAGTTCGGTTCATGCAAGAGGGAGCCTTCATTCTGTAAGAACATCAAGGGACGTAGGCCCACCCAGCCAGACCCTTCTGAAGCAAGGGCAAATGCAGCTGCGGCCACACGGAGGAGCCCCGGCAGAACAAGAAGATCAGAGTTGTGGCTGGTAAAGCTTGGAAGTTGGGGTCCCGCGTTTCTCTTCCAGGCTTTGTTTCCGTGAGGTGAGCAAACTCTCCGCGGGTGAGATGCTGGGTTGATTGGGTACATCGCGGTGGGACAAGATTCGGCGGGCATTCGGCCTGGTTTTCTTCTGTTTCCTCATGCCCCGAACACTGCATAGGCTCGCACTCTGGCTTTTGTGACTCTGGCGCTGGGTATGGGCAAAGGGGAGCAGTCTCAACCTCGCGTCCTCGCATGCCTCTGTCAAGAGCCCCGGAAAAATCCCGAAACTCTGACGGCGTCATTCTTGGCCAGGTTAAAACCAAAGCCAAAACCACAGACGAGGCACCTGCTTAATTCGAGCAGTGACTTGCTTCCGAAGCTCCGGCCGAGAACAGTCATGGAGTTTTGTGAGTGGAGATCATGAGGACGGGCTGTTCCCTCCTCGAACCAGCATATTGATGGCATGCCGAATCAGGCGCCAATCGACGCAGCGCCCGCCGGCGTCGATCCTTGGTGCATATGTCCTCCGTGTTTCGGGTAGACTCCAGCAGCATGCTTGTTATGACAAACGGCTGGAGCGGCGGCTGTCCCCTATCCCCAACACAAACTCAGCATTGCGCACCTGGGATG